TCTTTTATTGTGTTCTGAACAAATACCTTCTTGATAAATAACTTTATGAGCATGTTTGCATCCTGGCAAAAGGCAGTATCCTCACTTTTCACCTACACCACATGTTTGTTTTCTGGGTGTAATTCTGAGCAGTAAAGATGGCATTTGGCCTTCAGGTGTAAATTATTATGGATTACTTCCCAGAGGAGCTTTATAAATTATGTTATTTTACATTTGAAGTATTTATTTTGGAATAAGCTCTTCGTGACTCTCAGCATTTGATCTGGTATTCACTCTGAAGTTATTTCTCATCTGAATGCTTAAAATTCACCCCAGGTTATTTCTTATTAGAGCTATTTGCTTTCAAATTCATGCAAAATTATCAACCTATGATAGAAGAGCTGGGATCTAGTGATTGAGTGTTTTGGCCTTGGAGCTTAGGAAGCAAGCAGGTAAGTTAATAATTCAAGGATACTTGCTTATTGCCTCCATTGCTCCTTTGAAATGAGTCTCTCCTTACCCTTTATTATGATATCAGTTACACAACTATGCATGCTATTTCTAATTAAAATAAGTTAATTATTTATTTCTGATAGGGTTTGTGTTATGAATTTACTGAGTATCAGTTAGAAAATCTATCATATTTTTCAGGCATGAGAGTATTCTGCCAGGTGTTCTCTGATTTCTCAGAGCATTTGAACTGTCCTATCATTCAGCCAAACCTTTAAGCATATGCCTGAATTTCATTCATTTAAGAATGCATTAACTTGTTCAAATGTTTTGGTGAATTAATATCTTTATTTATGTTACAGATTTGGCTTTTAGTGGGACATTTCAGTTACTAATATTAATAATAATATAGCTAACAGATTGTGTTTTGTTGGGCTAACTCCTGGAAGAAAAGCATTTCTGTCCTGCTCTGGGCATCTTTAATAGATAGGAAAAATAAAAAGTGAGAGGAGAAATGGTATTATCTGTACTGAACTATTGAGAAATTTCTATTCAGATAATTTTAGCAACCTACAAAGATCTCAAAGGAAGCATATATAGCAATATAAATGACCCTTTGCTTTCAGAGTTTCCAACCCCCAACCATCTATTCATTTTCCATGAATGCTATCATGTCCCTAAAAATGTGTGCTCCTTTTCCTTTAATTAACAGTCAGCTAAAAGATACAAGTCCTTTTTAGAAAGAAAAGACCTATCTTTGACATCCTTTGTCACATTTCCTGTAATTGGAAACTCTGGAGTGGCTCATGGGAACCTAAACGTTAAAATCCAAATTCAATATTTAGTCTATTAAAATGCCTCTAATTTTCTGTTCCCTCAAGAAACATTGTCAAAACTCCCTTCCCTGGTGTCTGCATGGAAGGTAGTTACAGCTGGTGTCTGTCCCACCCCTAACCCTGATGTTTGTATTTGTCCATTTGACTGCATGCCACCTGCTGCAAGGGTGAGAGGGTGGGATCCCCTGCTTCTGAACAATGTCTTTCTGCCAGCAGAAGGTTATTCAATTAGGCAGTTGCTCTGCTTATTACTGGATGGGATCATGTAAACCACCTGCACTTTCTCTCTCTTTTCCCCAGGCCTGTTCCCCTTCCCCCCTTCCCATTTGCTGGATTCAGCAGCCTTTTCTGTCTCTGGAGAGTTGGGAAAAGACAGCAGATTGAAAACCTTCCCCATTAGCTTCTGACTGCAGTTTGACATTTGTTTTGTTTCCTGACTGGGGCTATATCCAGTGCAAGCACTTTGTAGCAAAATCTGATGGGCATTTGATAATATCTTAACACTTTATCACCTCTACTTCTACTGGGATGAATTTTTCCCCTGTCCTCAAAATGGTTCTTAAAAATTGTATATGCATTAAGGCATCAAACTGGGGTCGGTAAGAAAAGAGTTGTGATTCCCACTTACTGTAGCACTATGGGACTATCCACATAATTTTGAACTGAAAATTTTGTATTTGTAGCCTGTTTTTCTTTTCTAAGGTGTTTCTTTGTATAGTTGATTTTATTGCAGTTACTCCAATCTTTAAGGAGTGTTCACTGCTGTGGTTAGTCTAGCTTCACCAGTAAATGCTTTTTGCTGTTTGGTTTCAACTGGATGCATGACCCTGTGCCTTGTCAGTGTCTTTCATGCATCTTGCATGATAGAACTTACTTTGTAGGGCTGAAAAATAATGTGTGGTGTGTCAAGAAACCATCTTATTCAATATCTGTTTTAAGAGTGATGGTTACTCTTATATCTGTCTCAGACTGGATGTTTTCCTGAAATACGTGATATTTATGTGTCTTGAAATCTTAACATGAATCTGGAAAAATATTCCTTTAAGCACAGTTATTTGAACAAAATTAAATTACATTCTGCTCTCATATGTCCCTGACACCCTACTGAACCTAAATGCCATAGTGTGGAATTCAAAGTAATTCTCTTCTGGTTTTAAGAGCACTAAAAACAAAATTGAGTCTGCCATGTCTTAGTTTAGATGAAGGTCATAGCTGAAATTATTTGCCTACTCTAGCAGGGCTAAACGTATTTTTTCTTTTCTTGATATAGTCTTCTGGTCTGTCAAATTCTTTTATTTAGACCCTGACATGACTGGAGAAATTTCCAGTAATTCTGTTAATTTAACTTTATTAATGTTGTACTATATTTAGGAGCTATTTTTTTTCCTATTTCAACAGAAATGGAAGCAAGCAGTCTGCCAACATGAATGAACTGCGTTTGTTGCTTTCCAATGTATATCTGTCTTGGTTATCTTCAAAGTAATTAATGATCTTATACCTGAATGACTATTTAAAGAGTTTCACAAACAAGCCAGTTTTCTGAAATAGTAGAGTTTCTGAAAGAAAGCCATCTTTTTTTTTTTTTTTTTTTTTTTTTTTTTTTTTTTTTTTTTTTTCTTGCAAAGGAGAGAGAACCCATAAGATTTTAGTTTTCTAATTGTCTTCATTTTTTTTCAATTGATGTGTTCTTATGTTGTAGAATTTATTAAGTTTCTAGGCCTCTCCATGATTGGTAAAATTTCAGTGATTCTACACCTCCTGCATAAAATACAGTAGTAATAGAGGTCACTGGGAGAAATGGCTGACTCTCCAGAAGACTGTGCTGCCATCCAGTGGGACCTACACAGGCTGGAGAGCTAGGTAGGGAGAAATTTAATGAACCATAACAAGGGCAAATGTGAAGCCTTGCATCTGAGCAACAACAACCCTGTTGTACCAGTATAGGCTGGGGGCTGACCTGTTTAAGAGCAGTGTAGGGAAAAGGGACCTGGAGGTCCTGGTGACCACCAGCAAGGTGACCATGAGCCAGCACTGTGCCCTTGCAGCCAAGAAGGCCAATGGCATCCTAGGGTGTATTAGAGGGGGTGTGGTTAGTAGGTTGAGAGAGGTTTGCCTTCCCCTCTACTCTACCCTGGTGAGATCGCATGTGGGACATTGTCCCGTTCTTGACCCGTCTGTTCAAGGGCAGGGAACTGCTTAAGCAAGCCTAGCATAGAGCCACACAGATGATTAAGGGAATGGAGCATCTCCCTTATGAGGAAGGGCTAAAGGAGCTGGGTCTCTTTAGTCTCAGAAGAAGAGACTGAGAGGTGACATCATTAATGTTTGTAAATATGTAAAGGGTGAATGTAAGGAGGATGGAGCCAGGCTCTTCTCAGTGATATCCAGTGATAGGACAAGAGGCAATGGGTGCAAACTGGAACATAGGAGATGCCACATAAATACAAGAAAAAAACTTCCTTATGGTAAGGGTAACAGAACACTGGAGCAGGCTGCCCAGAGATGATGCAGGGTCTCCTCTGGAGACATTCACCTGGATGCATTCCCGTGTGACCTAATCTTGGTGTTTCTGCTCTGGCAGAGGGATTGAACTAGATGATCTTTTGAGGTCCCTTCCAATCCTTGACATTCTGTGATTCTGTGATATGGGTTATGTTTGTAAATGTGATGACTAGCTTTTAGGACTAAATCCCTGTTAGAAATGTATGTCCCCTCTTGTAGAGGACAATGCTATAGCTCAGTATTTTGAAATAAAACAGCCTGATGAATGATTACTGTGTAATTGCTGTGACTTTTGATATTCTTCTATTAACACAGATGTATCAGGATGAAAGGCAAATTCTATTATGGTAGAGACAAATCCTTGTGACCTGCCGTTCATGAAACCCTACACCAGTACCCATTTCAGTCAATCTGTCTATCAATAGTTGCAGATGGATAACTTCAAAATGCTAACATCAGATTCCTTTAATGACACCAAGCTGTACTTACTGCAGATCAAACTAACTGTAGAACATAATGTGATGATTTAAATGTGGGAAGAATTTTATTTTCCCTTCAGCTGAAACTAATTCTTAATATTATGAATGATAAGCTGAATAATTCTGGGATTACCCTGCACTTCACGGAAATTTATGTCCATGGCAAAAGATATCCATACCCCTAATATCCTAGCTGGAGCTCTCTTAGAATCTGGAATCATCAGTTATTTCTCTAACTGAGCTTCAATTAATTTTAATCTAGTCAGAAACTAGTGCTGAACCATAATGTGTGGTATTATGTGATAATTTGTGATTACAGTCAGTATAGGACACACGGCATGAAATGAGTTTCCAGATGTGTCACTCATATGCTTGCAGTTTAGGAGAGTATCGTGAAGAAGTACAGAGGGCAAGTTTGGTATGTAGTGTAAATTGAAAAAAGGCCCTTTCCATGTAGGCAGGCTTATGCTGAGCACCCCACTATAGGTACTTGAGGCTAGCCACTACTTTGAAGAAGGGATAGATTAAGACGCATGTTTTTGAGGGGAAAATATTTATGTATTTATTACAGTATAAGAAAATACTGTACAAATGATATACACAGCTGAATAGCTTCCAGGTGATTATAACATGTTAAAGAACAAATAGATTCTGTTATTTTGTAGAGCTGTGATGAAACACTACATATTCAAAACCAATATTTACTGAAAATAACAGAATAACTAACTGTTTCAAAAGTAAACAACCTGCTGATAGTACAAATCCTGAGTAACTTCTGGGGTTTAATTATTTTAAAGTGGTTCTGGTGTTATTTAAGATACATTTGCAAATAGCGTTTTGACAGGTTGAAGATTTTGCTGTAGTCCTAAATGCAGATACAAATACATTTAGAAGACAATATTTTGAAAGTGTATCTTTTTGTGCAGCTCTTTGGGAAACAATGCAAAAAGATCTATCAGATTATCTTATGTGTCCATAATGATGTTTATATTGTTATTTGTATTATTATACGTATAGTATATGTATATAGTTATATATACAAAATTTATACTTCAATAGCCGTGTATTTTTCCTAGCCAATGCTTTCCATGCAGCAATAGATCTTTTGTAGAAGACATTTATTCTTTACCATTTGACAGTTTTTTTTTTTACCTCATGACAACATAGCTCCAGACATTTAAACTGAGTTTAAGTGTGTCAAATATGAATGTCTAATGGCTGTAGTTGTGATTAGATGTGGTAGACCTGTATTTGATGTCTTCCTTCAAAGCAGATGGTTTTCATCTGAAGTTAGTGGTGCTTTTACCACTCATGCCCCATCTTTAAGGTTGTCATCATTATACTTATCCATGTAAGGAAAAAGTAACACTAGTATGTAAGACATTAGAAAGGCCAGTATATGAAAAAAAAAAAAAAAAAAAAAAAGGCATTGCATAGGTCATCTGCATTCACAAAGATAAAAGATTTACTGGAGCACTCTCTCAAGAAGAATATGGCCATTGTTTTCCCAGTTACATTTGTGATAGAAAGTCTTTATTTCATCTCTTCTCCTCTGTGAAGTTGTTCTTCTGATGACCATTAACATGATAGCTGGGAGTCACAAGAATTCCTTTAAAATATATTCTTGTCACAGAATAACATTTCCATTCTTATCTTATTACAGAAGGAATTACTGCTAGCAGAATAGTTCTAAAGCTTTTCAAGAGTTTCTGTTAGAAATATGTTTCTTTAGAGAAGTTGTTCATTAGGAGAAATAAAGTGAAAAAGATCCAACATACAGAAAATGTTCTCAATGAGATGTAAAACTTCCTTTGGCTTTCTGGGCATACTGAAGTTAAATATTTTCCCAATCAGTACTTACAATGGTAATAAAATCTAAATAAATGTACACAGAAAGCTTCAGATGAAGGATGGTTAACTAGAGAAACTTGGACAAATGAAATGAAAGTGAAGACTCAAAAGTTGAAATAGTCAATTTCTGTGAGCACAAATGCATACATGTGCATCTCAGCTTCTCATTCAGGACCATCACACACAGATCTTCCCAATGTTGACTTTTCATTGGTTATTGTCATTCTTCCATAGTAGCAGAACTGCTGATTTCATGATATTTTTTTTCAGAAATGCTTCAGCTCTGCTCTATAAGAGGAAAACATAAAGAGCTGGCTGAAAAGCAGGAGACAGAAGTGAATAGAAAAGCAGGAAGAAAATACTGCTAAGGTAATGCTACTTGGAGAGATCTAGAAGCTAAGAAAATCACTAAAAGCCAGAATAAAGATCAGAATCTTTAGTACTCCAAAAGTTTGTGTGTTTTGTTTTGTTTTTTTTTATCTCTCTTGGTCATAGTTTTCATCGCAGCACAGTAACTTTACAATACTCCAAACTGACAGATGCCAAGAGTGGTAATAATTCAGCTCCCTTATCATCCAGTATCATTGTGTTTTTTGAGTTATGATGACAGGAGATGTGCTTTTCCTTCTGGATTAAGTCCACCAGTCTCTTTTTAACCAAATGAGATGTATTTTCAGGTAAATTTAAAGGTAGGAAATGAAGCTAAGACTCAAAACATATGAGAAGAGGGAGGAAGTAAAACTTCTCCAAACTGATTGACACCAAGTATTTTCAAGCAAAAAATTATGAATGTAGGAAGAGGCTGTGGGAAACAGAAATTCAGAATCAAATACAAAGTGAAGATGAAAGATAGTTAAGTACAAGGCAGTTTGGAAATGAGAAGTACTATATGCAACTGTTGAGAAGAAATGGGACTGATAAAAAATTGCTGTAGAATGAGCCATTATAGAACACTTCTTGTCTCAGTCTCAAGATAGAACGTAACCTGAAAAGGAAGCGTTTTTCAATGACGCTACTTGATACACATTGTGTTTTCAGCTGGACTGGTGTAGTCAGTGCCTGATGATACGACACCATAATTACATCTCTGAAGTAACATGGAGGCAACTTTTACTACTTAAACAGTGTTGCAAAAGAAGGTTATATTGTCCTAAGGAGCTGAAGATTAGCCGGATGCATAAATTCCTCTGATTCTGTGCAGTTATTGGCAAACCATTCTCTGCAAATTTCTCAAAGGAAACATGACCTCTTGAAAGACTTCTGACAAATCTGCCTTTAATACCAGAAATTAATAACGCCGATCAACTCTGTTTTGAAGACAAGGATTTTCCCAGTTGAAATAAAGATAAGAAACAGTGTTTGCCTTCCTGTCATTGGCAATTGAGGAATTAGATAGGATAGTATAGTGATATGAATATAGTATATGAATATAGTATATGAATAAGTATATGAAATGAGGAAATAGATAGGATAGACAAGGATAGTAGTAGTATTGTACTATTACAGTAGTACAAGAGCTCAAGTTCCTAGCGCTTATGAAATGTTACTGTAAATCAGTTTAGAAAATGACAAAATTCTATTTGTAGCAGGCTTTTATTTGGCATTTACATCTGTTTAAGGCTGTTTACAGAAAGAAACTAGGCTAATTAGTGATTTCAGTTTTTTAAACTCATTCAAATAAGGTAGGAGTCCTCCTAAATACTCGTGCATTCAGAGTCTGCAAGTGAAGCATATGAAGGTTGAGCACTTGTGTATAGAGTATAGAGCCCAGCAAGGCCAGAGCAAGTTAAAAAGCTTACAAGTGAGTGACTGAGGCAATAAAGGGAGCATTATACTTATTGTCTACTACAGGCCAGCTGTTCAAATGGAGCCTTCTTCCTCCAGCTATGATCTCAATTTCTTGACCTGCTTGGTTCCTTCAGTCACTCTGACATTTGCTGAGAAAGTAGCATGATAAGCTGTAGGCAATCCAGGAGACTCCTGGAATGCATCAAGGAAAACTTCTTGACTGGGAGACAGAGAGCCCCATGAGTGTGTATGCAGTGTTGGACCTGTTGCTCACCAAAGCAAATGAACTGATTTGTGACGTCAGGATTGGAGTCTGTCTGGGCTATAGTTACCACTCAATGCTGGAGTTCACACTCCCAAAGTAAAGGGACAGACAAAGAGTAAAGTCAGGATACTAAATTTTAGGAAAGCCAAGTTCCTGCTCTTACGAGACTTGGTCAACAAAGCCCTCTGGGAAACTGTTCTCAAGGACAAGGTAGCAGAACAGGTCTTTAAGGAAGCTTTCTTCAGAGCACAAGAGTTGTCCATCCTTATGTGTAGGAAATCAGGAAAGGAAGGCAAGAGACAGGCATGGCTGACCTGGGACCTGCTGAGCAAACTGGAGAGCAAGAAGAAAATGCACAGGCAATGAAGTGGGGACAGATGCCCTGGAGTGAGTATAGGAATGTTACTAGGCTGTGCAGAGTATAGATAAGGAAGGCCAAAGCCCAACAGGAACTGAAATTGTTGAGGAGTACAAAGAAGAACAGAAAGATCGTTACATGTACATCAACCAAAAAAGGAAAGCTCAAAAATGCATACCCACCCAGTGAGCATGCAGGCAGGCTGGTAACAATAGGTGAGGAGCAGGCTGAGGTACTCAGCATTTTTTTTCCTCAGTCTTCATTGGCAGTTGTTTTTTACACATCCGTTAAGCAGAGAACTAGGAAGGTGGGGACTGGTGAAACAGCATCTGTCCTGCTATTAGCAATATCACTTTCATGACCACCTGAGAAACCTGAACATCCATAAGTCCTTGTGATATTGGTATTAAGTAAACCCTCTTCCAGTTTGTGTATGACACCACGCTATGTGCTGCAGTCAGTGCACCTGAGGGATGGGATACCACACAGGGAGTCCTATGCAGGCTTGAGCGATGGATCCGGAAGATGTTGCAGCTATCCCTGCAATCAATACAATATGGATGACAAAAGGATAGAGTACAGCCCTGCCAAAAAAGAGTTTGGGTATTACATTAGAGTATGGGTGAATGGCAAGCTGAATGCGATCCAGCAATGTGTCTTTGCAGTCTGGAAAGCCATTGGTATCCTGGGCTGCATCAAAAGAAATGTGGCCAGCAGGTCAAAGGAGGTGATTTTGCCTATTCACCCTTAAGGTGAGGCTTTATTTGGAGAACTACGCCCAGATGTGGAGTTCACAGTCTGGGGAGTAAATGTACCTGCTGGAATGCATCTGGAAAGAGCCATGAAAATGATCCAGTGGTGAAACAGCTCCCTGTGAGGACAAGATGAGAGAGGTGGGGCTTTCAGACTGAAGAAGGCTCTGGGGAGATCTGATAGATGCCTTTCAGTATCTAAAGGAGATTGTAAGAAAGAAATAGACTTTTTGGCAGAGACTGTTGTGACAAAACAAGGGGAAATGGTTTCAAACTCAAAGAGGGGAGATTTAGATGGGATATTAAAAATAGGGTGGAGAGACACTGGAATAGGTTGCCCGGAGATGTGGTGAATGCTTCCCTGGAGACTTGTCAGGTCAGGCTGGGTAGAGCTCTAGGCAGCCTAATCTAACTGTACATATCTGTGTTCATTGCAGAGGAGTTTGACTTGATGAGCTTTTAAGATCCCTTCCTCAAATTTTTCTATAATTTCTGGCCAGGTAGCATGCGGATGGGTACTCAAGAGCAAGTTGGCCATGGTTGTCCACTGCTGTGAGATTGGAACAAAGTGGTAGGGTGTTTTATGCTTAGTTTCCTCTGGAAATTGCTCCTTCATGGCAAGGCAAGTAAGATATGGGTCGTGGCAGTAATTCATATAATGCAATGTGCATCAGTGGAAACATGTGTTACTGGACTTAGCCTTCAAAGGGGTATGTCAACTGTATGGATCACAAAGCCCTCTCTAGTGCATGTGAATTTATATTTAGAATTTCAGTTATCTGAAATTTAGATTTAACTGTAAGTTTGTTGCAAATGAATGCCCATGAAGCTCATGGCCCTGCAGCAATGTCGTGGCCACAAATGTTTAGCTTTAAACTGTTATATCTCAGTTTTGATTTACACTTGCAGCACTCAAAATGGCAGAATCAATTTGTTTGAAAATTGATTTAAAAAAATAAAATAAAATTGCTGTAGGCTATGGTCTTAGGTGCCAAACTTCACCCCAGGAAAAAAAAAAGTAGCAGTGTTAGAATTATGTCTCTGAAGAACAGTTTTTATTACAGAAGTACTGATTAATTATTATGGTGCGACTATAATTTTTTTTTTAAACCATGGGTGCATGTCTTGCTTGCTGCTAAGTAATATCTAAAAAAGTAAATGTTGAACAGAAAAACTGCAGAGAAAAATGGTAGTGACAAGAAAAACAGTAATTGAAGTGCAAAAATAATAAAATGACGAAAAGATACTATAGCAGTTACATAAGATGACAATTACTTCAGCAACTGATATTACTGTGTATGTTGAGATAATCATACATGGACATTTATGCGGCATATGTTCTACTTATGTCTGTTTCAAGACTCTGTTTGCTTAAGAGATACAACACTACTTCTGTAATATGAGATTCCACTATTATAGAAGGCAATAGACACAATTATTGTGGTTAAGTACCAAATGACTTAAAACATTTCAGATTTATTGTGTACTACATTGGATCTGTACTTTCAAATAGGGTTGTGTCTTTACTTTGTGGAATTGCTGGCTATCTCACAAATTTAAAAATATTCACAAATGTCTGATCCTCAAATTCTCACTTTGAGCTATGGGACATTCTTTCAAGGTTTAGATTAAGCAGAGCTTAAATTTGTGTTACTTTCAAGTTTTCATTTGATAACTTTCTGCTCTCTTAAACTTAATTAATAACATCATGCCAAATTAGAGAATAATTTTGTCTAAACTTCCTATCAAGTGCTTCTAATTACTTAATGAAGATGCACCTTTATAATCAGATAATCAGATAAATTTTCCACATTCTTAAGAACTGATGTTGGTAAGATCTTATGTTGATATAAAAAGAACCCATTTAAATTATATCTTAATTCAGTGGGACCACTCTTAGAAGTGAAATATAAAAAACATAAAATTCTTTAAAAGTGCACCAGAAAATGTGTATTTATAGTGAGATCTCTTTATTCAAACCACAAGCTGGTAAGTATTCAAAGATCATGATATACTGAGTGGTGTTTGTTACCAGAGAATAGAGAAGAGTGGTGTTTCTTCCTGATGTGTGTGAGGATGACATTTTAAAGGCAAGCTTTCTATTACAGAAAATCTAAGAGCAAAT